ATATGTAATAATGATATATAATAATGTTATATTAGATAATATTATATAATATTTTATTATCTTACATTATAATAGAATTTTATAATAAAATATAATTAATATATATTATATATTATAATACAATTAACATATATTAGATATTTAATAAATTAGTGATTCAAAATTATCTCACTTTCCTCATAGTTGTCCCAAAGTTAAGAATGGGTTAAATTTTGAAGGTTAGGACAAAAAGTTTGTATAGAAGTGAGATAATTTTGAGAAAAGTGGGCGTAATTGTACCAATCTCATTGTCTCAATAAATAACACCTTCAAATAAAATCCCAATCCCATTATCCCAATGAATAACACAATAAAGTAAAGTTCCAAAAATTATCCTACTTACCCCAAATTTACACCAACCGATAAGCCCTCCTTATAGATGAATGTTTATTTTGTATGACAAGATGAAGGCATCAAGATTGAGATCTCTTGGATGAGAAGACGTGGGTGACTAGTTTTTCTCTCAGACAAGTTCTCTTGAAATTCTCAATCTCTATAAATTGATCAACGTGTCGGTCTCTGTAAGAGCATATTTGGCAAACGGTCGAACTGGATTACAATCAAGAAGATCGAGTGAAGTTGCAAATGGTTTATTTTGGATTATAATCCGCTAAAGAATAACCTGGCTATCCCAAATTATTTTCCAGTGGATTATGATCCATGAGGTTTGACCAATTGCAATTTCGACAGGTTTTGAATTCTTCCTAGTATTGCATGAAGTTGAGCTTGAAACTGTTCTATAGATCTCGTATCTATATAAGATATTAGACATTACTGAGATATTACTCTTGAATTAACAGGCATATACTTGATAATCCTGCTCATATCGGGTCATATTCTAAGGTCTAACCCCATAAGACCATGTGCAGCAGTGAAGCAAATGTGAAAATATGTGTTGCAGCAGTGAAGCAAATGGAGAGAGAAGGAAATGGAGAGCAAAATTTGCCCATGGGCAATTCTGATTTTGTGGGCCCCAAAGCAAATGGAGAGAGAAGGAAATGGAGAGCAAAATTTGCCCATGGGCAATTCTGATTTTGTGGGCCCCACACCTGCAAACAAAATTTAAGCAAAATTTGCCCATGGGCAATTCTGATTTTGTGGGCCCCACACCTGCAAACAAAATTTAAAAAAATCATCATCCTCCTTATTTTGTAGGCCCCACACCTACAAACACCTGATTTTCTTATCCTCCTATTTTGTAATTTATTATTTTGGCCCATAATTAATTAAAATTAATTTTTAATTTTTATATCAATATTTTTTATTTTTCAAGCTCTATAAATAGAGCCTAAGTTTGTGTCATTTGGACACCAAAAAAAAATCTGAGATTTTTACACCCTATTTTCATTCCTTTTTAGAATCTTCATCATCCTTCATGGATCCTTCACAAAACTGTAATTTTCCCATGAACTACAACTTTCCCAACCAACCCCAAAATTCGAATATGCAACCTCAAAACCCAAATATGCAACGCCTGGAAAGTACTCAGAATATGGGGATGCACCCAAATTTTCCAATGCAGTATATGATGCCACAAAATTTTGGCATGCAATACCCATACAACCATCCTTATATGCCATATGGCTATCCAGTATATGATGCCACAAAATTTTGGCATGCAATACCCATACAACCATCCTTATATGCCATATGGCTATCCACCAGTCACTGGAAATAGCTATGTTCCAGCAATACCCATACAACCATCCTTATATGCCATATGGCTATCCACCAGTCACTGGAAATAGCTATGTTCCATCCCACATGAATGATCCAAGCACGGATCCGACTGTTGATCCAAACACACCATTTCGGGATGATGAAGATGAATATGCATATAGGATGTTGAAGGAGTTGTTTGAAGAATAATTTGCATAATCTGTGTTGCAACTATTGTTTCGATTACTGTAACGTGTGTTTCCAACTTTGAGTGTTTGTTTGAATAAAAATGTATGTTTGTTTGAATAAAAGTGTTTGTTTAAAATGAAAGCGACTTGTCTGTCCAATAAATTCAAAGAAGTAGTGTGTTTTTTTTGGTACGTTTCAATAATTTATGTGCGTTAAGTTGGTTTGATGATTAATAATATCGTGTGTTGTGTTGTTTTTTAAAGTAATTTTTAATTTAAATTAATGTCATTTAAAAAAATTATATATTATTAATTGCAAAATTAATGCCATTTTTAAAAATTATATATTATTTATAAAACATATGTCAAATAAATAAATATGAATATAAAATGAATAAATATGGTGGGGTATATGATAGAGTGATGTGGATGAAAGATAAAATATGGTGGGGTATAGATAAAGTAAAAAAATACATATTTGCTTTTCTGCTGTGGAGCTGAAAGAAAAGAGGGAAGCAAATATTGAATTGGTGGGGACAAACGCTGAGGTGGAGGGCAATATTTGCCCTTCTGCTGTTGATGGTCTAAGATCTCAATGGTATTACCTCTTCCAGTCATAGAACCTTAGTATTAACATACCAAACATTTTCAGCTCAATTTGTGCAATTAAGAGATGTAATAAAAGGAGATGGTTACTGCTAAATGAAATAGCTTGAAGTTCAATACAATTCACAAAAAGATTTGAGGGTGGCAAAATGACTAGGTTGACCAAACAAGAGAGCAAATGCTTACGACAAATGAAGCAACATAAAAATGCAGCAGATACGGAAAAGGTAGCTTAAAAAGCTGTTTAGCATCCAACAATAAATAAGCAAATAAATAAATAAAGTAAAAAAAAAACTCTCCTTGAGGTTTGTGGGTTCACTGAGAGCATCTCCAAGGGGCCGGAAAAATCCGGCCCCTTAGCTAGATTAAGGGAGAATGAAGGGGAAGGTGCTCCAAGGGGCCGGAAAACTTTCCCCTTCACCCCAAACCCCTTAACTCCCTCCCCAAATTAAGGGGAAGGTTAAAGTCCCTTAACCTTCCCCTTATAATTTTATATTAATATTTTCTTTTTAAATAAAGTTAATGTATAGTTAATTAAATTTAGTTAATATATAGTTAATGTATAATTAATACTTTTAACATGATTTATATAAATTAATTATTTATTAAATTTTAATATGATTAATTAATTTAATAATTATATAAGATAATTTCTTACTTTAAATTAATTATTTATTTAATTTTAGTTATTAATATTTAATTATTTATTCATTTATAAATAAACCATATATTTAATTAAATCTTAATCTATAAAATTAAAACACTAAATATGAATAATTAAGGGGTAAGAGGACTTTTAAGGGGGAACCATTGGAGGAGAACTTCCCCCTCCCTTAACACTCCCCCTAGATTAAGGGACATTCTAAGGATCCCTTGGAGATGCTCACCCTCTACGTATGCAATCATCAACAAGCTAAAACCCCAAAAGCTTTGGCTCGAATGGGACTCCCTGAGCACAATCCTTGAACTTCAAAAAAAAAAGCTTGTTATTCCCGCTTCTTCGTGACAGTAAAGAGATACTTCTCTCTTTGCAATGGTTCAAAGTCGCTCATATATGAAGTGTTGTATTTACACAAGAGTTCCAGTGTTCGTCAGTTCAAATGGCTAGGAAGGATCTAGCTGCTTATTACATTAGAATGTAACTCCTTTTTGCAGGAGTGTATTAGCTAAAATATAAAAGAAAAAGGATACAATGAAAAATGACCTGTCTATGAAATTCAGCTAATCAAACTAGGATTGCCATCAAATGACAGTTTTCTAGCTTCACAGTTCACTTCATAAAAGCCTCAACAGACGCATAATACATCATGTTAACATCAGAAAATTGCCCAGTTGCTAATATGCAAGAGTAATCACAATAAAGAATTATTATGACAATAATAGAAATAGATGTGAGAATGACTTGATCGTTTGTAAAAAAAAATCACTTCTGACTTTTACATTATCATAGAAAATACAGTAGATTACAAAAGATTGAATTTTGGGTAGATGCTTGAAATGGGCAAAAGAACTCACTGAAGAGAGATGTGATGTGATGCAACTCTTCCTTCAGGTATCTTGCTCTCTACTTTGCTTATTCTCTGTGGCGGCCAGATTATAAATGTGGCCCTCCCTCCTATTAGACCCAGAGGAATCTGTAACAAAGCAAATTCCTGTCAAAACTCGTTTTTACTGTTCAATGGGGAAAAGATCAGGCTGATGTAATGATTTAATTGAAAGAATTTACAGCCAAATGCTAAAAACTTGCATCAAACTTCTTTATCTCGTGGTTATCATCATCCAAGCCTATTTATGTATCTTTTTATATTATATTGAGTACATATGTGATCGGCACATGTTTTCTCAGAGTAGCATGTGTTGTTAGGAAAAGCATATAGTCTTCGATTGCTCGGTGTAGTTGAACTTAATATAAAAGAATTTGTTTTCTATTTATAAAAGAAAACTTTTTCTATTTATAGAATAATTTGTTTTCTATTTAGTGAACAAGTAACAAATCAAAACTTGATCCCTGTACATATTAAAAGATGGATTTTTTTTCGAATACTTACTTTCAAATGTATATGCATGTCTCCTCTCAATAAACATGCACAAAAATATGGCATGCATAATTATCAAAACTGTTCTAGCGAATAGTCCAAAGTGTATTACTATCCTAGATACAGGCTTAAGCTTGTTTTTAAGGGCGCATCGAGGCGCGCGCCTCGGGCACGA